GTGGTTTTGAACTCTATATCCAGTAGTTTGCTTTCCTCCATTTCTGTCATTTGTGACCTGTTTCTTTGTCTCCGCATTTTTTATGCTTCCCTGTGTTGATAGAGTGGCTTTGTGTGCTAGGTATCTTATAGGGCCCAGTGGCTCAGCCTCCCCAGTTACCTGAGGTGGACACTCTTGGTGCACCCCTTTGTGGGCTTTGTGCACAGTCTTGTTGTAGTTATGCCTTGATTGTTTTAGGTGTCACTGGGAGGAATTGACCTCCAGGCCAATTGGCAGTGAGAATCAGCTGTGTCTGCAGTGGGAGAACTTCTGTGCTGGAGACACCCTTCTGGGGCAAGACTTGCTTCAGTGGGGCTTTGGTGCTCACTGAGTCTGCCCCCTGAGTGTGTCCCTTATGGATCTGAGGAGTTGTAATCTGGATGGTCCCACTCTGACCACTGGGTACACTGGCTCTTGGATCTCTAAGGAGGTGCTAATTTAGCCTCTGCTTGAAGCTACCCAGCAGGAGCTATGGAGAGATCTGCAGATTCCTCTTCTTTGTTTGGGGTTTGGAGGTGCCCAGATGAGGCCCAGCTGTGAAGCAATGCAAGCTGCTGTGGGGCCTTGGACCTTCTTTTGGAAGTTCTGGGTCTCTCTGATTCAGCTGCAGTTTGTTAGGTAATTTTCAGGTTGCAAAGGGCCAGGCCTTTCATATGCAAAAGCCTCTGTGCACAGCTTGGGTGGGGCGTGGTCTCAGGGGATCAACAGGGCGGAGCAAGCAGCTATGGCTGCTCCCCAGTCCTACCCTAAGAGGCCCCGCGTCTCAATGTCCCGGTAATTGCTGCAAGCACCTCTGAGAGAAAGCCACCCTCGAGTTCTGCCCGATGCCAGACAGTCCAGTTTCTCCCCATATGAGTCTGGGTCCCCAGAGACTCACCCGGAACTGGAGTTCAGAGCAGTTGGGAGCTTGAGACTCCCTCCTGATTGAAAAAGACAACCGCATCCTCAGCCGCCAGCCCTTTCCACGTGCACCACGTCCTCAGTTGCCAGCCCTTTCGGCGTGCGCCTCCTACCTCTGCACTTTACTTCCGCACCTCCTCTGAGTCTCAGTGCTTTTCTCTTTCCTTCTAGTTGTAGAATTTCCACTCAGCCAGCCGTCCTGTGGTTCTGGATGATGTCCGTTTTGTCTTTTAGTTGTATTTTTGAAGTGACTGTGCGAGGCAGCAATTTCCGGTGTTTACCTATGCCGCCATCTTGGTTTCTTCTCATTTTTACTTTTAAAGGGTACTGCTGGCCCTAGCGGGGGTGGGGGGCATGCCTCAGTCAGTTGGAGCATCATCCCATACACCAAAAGGTTGTGGGCTCGATTTCCGGTCAGGGCACATAACTAATTTGCTTGTTCATTCCCCAGTTGGGTGCATATAGGAGGCAACTGATCAATGTTTCTCCCTCATATCGATGTTTCTCTCTCTCTCTCTCTTAAAACATATCCTCAGGTGAGGATTAGAAAATAATAAAAGGCACTGCTGAATTTCTTTCTAAAAAGGCATACCGAGCCCAGCCCACATGGCTTAGTGGTTGAGTGTTGACTTATGAACCAGGAGGTCATGGCACATGCCCAGATTGTGGGCTCCATCCCTGGTGAGGGGTGTGCAGGAGGCAGCCTATCAATGATTCTCACTCATCACTGATGTTTTTATTTCTCCCCCTTCCTCTCTGAAATCAATAAAAATATATTTAAAACATAATAATTAAAAAAGGCATATTGACAAAAACTCCCTCCAACAATTTATAACAATAACCATTTCCCACATCTTTCCCAACACTTAAGTTTTTCAATCTTTTTAATATTTGTAAATCTTTGGAAATAAAAAAGTGTTTCTCTTTTCAAGCTGCACTTCCCTAACACTAGTTGAGTAGAACAAACACCTTTTCAAATGTTTCTTGGCCAGCCACTCTATCGCCTCTGTTAATAGGGTATTCCTATCTTTTGTCCATTTTTCTTTTGGGTTGATTTGTAGGAGTTCATATCTTCTGAGTAAAAGTTATTTGTTTAATATATATGTTGGAAATTACTTTCTCCTAGTCTGTTGCCTATCTTTTAACTTTGGTCATACAGAATTAAAATAAAAATCAATATAGTCAAAATTATATTTACTTTATGTTTTCCTTGATTGCTTCATTGGTTTTGGTATTCTTAAAGGCTTTTCTACCTCTAAACATCATTTTCAACGCTGCATAATATTCCACTGTATGAATATACTATAATTTATGAAATTCTGTCACTATTAGAAATTTAGGTTGTCCCATCCTTTCATTAATATAAAGAATGCTGTGAAAAGTAAGTGTTCAACTTGATATTTCTAACATATACCTTAGTGCCTACAAAAATGAGCATAATAAATGCTTCTTGGATGGTGAAGGGGAAAAAGTAAAAAGTCACATTCAAGATATGTTAAAAAAAAATGCAGCTCAGCCCTACCCGGTTTGGCTCAGTGGATAGAGCATCCACCTGCTCATGGGTCCCAGGTTCAATTCTGGTCAAGGGCACATGCCCGGATTGTGGGCTCAATCCCCAGTAGGGGGCGTGCAGGAGGCAGCCGATTAATGATTCTCTCTCATCATTGATGTTTCTATCTCTCCCTCTCTCTTCCTCTCTGAAATCAATAAAAATATATATATTTTTTAAAATGCAGCTCAGCCCTGGCTAGTGTGATTCAGTTGGTTGAGCATCGTCCTGTGCACTGAAAGGTAACTGGTTCACTTCTCGGTCCGGGTGCATACTGGAGGCAATCGATGTTTCTCTCTCTCTCCCTCTCCCTTCCTAAAATCAATAAAAACATATTTTTTAAAAATGCAGCCCAATGTCAACCAAATTATTGGGGAATTAGTCCTATCAGTCTACTTTTCCTTTAGCCCATCTAATCAAGAGTTGACTTTGCTTCTAAAATCTAGGCATGGAAGTAAAGCTTCACTTTCCCCCTAAGACTGCCCTTCCAGAGGGTGGGACAACTACTTGAGAAAGGTCTTTAAACACATACCTGAGTCCTCCTTCTTATCCTGACTTCAGTTTTAGGGTTCTACTTTGGTTGGTGAATCTTCAGGGTTTAGTTCTTAGAAGGTGGTGAATGGTGCTGAGGAGATGAGGTGGAAGGAAGAGAAGCATCATATCCATCAGGCTGGGCTGCCTCAGGATTGTGAGAGCCAGCTCTATTTCCAGCAGGTGGAGCTTCATATCCCTGAGGTGGAGCTTCATATCCCGGAGGTGGGGCTTCATATCCCGGAGGTGGGGCTTCATA